ATACAGTTGTTTATTAGTAAAATCTATAACTAGGTTCATTCTTATCATATCTTCTAATCCTAAAATTCCATCGAAATATTCGTGAAAATCATATAAGATATAATGAATATAAAAGTCACTTCCAAATTCTGGAAATGCTGGTATTTCGGCTTGATATTTAATAGTCTTAGTATAAAGAGCAGTTATAATATCTACATTTGACTGGTATATGCAATTAGGAAAATATTTTTCGGCGATACTTGGTCGTAGCAAAGACCTGGCACTACCGGTATCAATTCAGTAATTTTATTTTTGAATTTCCTACTTCAATATAAGGTAGGGGATTATTTGAATTTATTTCTATATTGACTGTTTCCTTCCGAGGCTTCTATCTGAAAATTTTGGTCTCCTTGACCGTTTTGTGGTAAATCATACTCAGAATTTCTAAAATAGCTATTGACTTGTTCATGTTGTGGTTCTCTTGGATTATTGTTTTCGTTTTGATAATTATTTGTGTATAGCTCTTCGGCTATAATATCAGGAATTCGTCTAGGGAAATCATTTCTCCGATAATTATTGTATTTATTGGAATTTGATCTAGCGTTTGAATTAAATGTGTTTCTAGATGTTATTGACATAGGTTGTGGCCTGGGTAACCGATCATTAGGAATTCGGTTGGGCCTGAATACATTACTTTCTGGTCGGAAGTTTGTGGAACGATTTTGAGTGTAAGCTATGTAGAATGCTTGCTGAGAATGTTGGTGATAAGCTAGATTTTCGATATGTGAAAACCTTGACGATTGAAAGGGAAGGTTTTGATTTCGATATGTAAAATTAGGATTTGTTTGATATTGATGTGTGGGATTAAAATTTTGGGGACGATAATTGTTGCTAAGGCTGAGTTGGCCTGTTAGATGGATTAAAGGAATTGTATGACTTAAAATTATGATTATTTTTTGGAAAATATTACTAGAATGTCCATATAAATTTTCAAAATTTTGAAACTCGTCGACATATGCAATGGCATCTTCAAGAAACTGGGTTTCTTAAGGTGCATATTATTTTTAAGAACACCTGTACATCCTGCAATAAAATGTTCAGTGCGATTTTATCACAATGGTTAATTTGGCATAATTTATCTGCATGCTCTATACTAGTATCATTACTTATTCTTTGGGCTACATTGCTTCTTAATAGTTGAATTCTTGTTCCAAAATTATGGAGTGTTTCATTTTAAATGGTTTTGTTCGTGTTAGTTCTTGCATTAAGCAGTCTAAATCACGTCTATCTGCGAAACATTGTTCTAATGCTCTCTTTATACTATTCCAAGTCGTTAGTTCCATGCGGTTTCCTACTAGTGCTTCTGCTTTTCCAACTAGTTTGTCTTGTATGCACTCCAAAATATGTTTATTTAAATCTGCATCGTTATATACAGAATATGTTTGTATTAGTTCGTTGCATCTTAAAATAAATTTGTTGAGAGTATTGGAATCTCCGTCATAGGGTTTAATATTTTTTAGTTTTGACTTGAGAAAATCCCAGTTAAGGGGAGTTGAGTTTGTGTTTGAGTTTGAGTTTGAGTTGCAGTAGCCATATTTTCAAATAAAATTATTTGTCAAAATATCTCACAAAATTATATAGAAATATGTTTTATAAAAATATATATATAGCAATATAAATGCAATATAAATGTTTTTCAAAGATTTAAAATAAATTATTCAATAAAAATAAATATTTTCAATAGCATAAATATGTATTAAAAAAAAAATGGATAAAAATTCTTATTCAGTTACAAAGTATTCTTATTCAAAAAAATTAAAAAGTATCAGTATTCTTATTCAAAAAAATTCAAAAATTAATCTATCTAACCTCACAAATATATGAAAGGAAAGGCGAAAAGGAAAGGCACTTACAGTTTATCTGGAGCACCTGCTTCTCTTCTCCGAACTTCTGCTTCCTCTGGAACTCTGCTTCTTCTCGTTAATACCACTGTAGGGTAGAGGTTCGATTTGGATACGCACTACGATGTTGAAACACCAAAAACCGAAAAAGTTCTATCACTTGATGTGTAAAATGTTCTTTTCCGATCCGCACGTATCCTACTGACTGCGCCAATTATAAACTTTGAGTTCCGAAAACGAGTTTTTTAAAAAATTATTTTATTTCGAAAATACAAATTTACAAATTATGTAGACAAAAGTTCTTAAACAAAAGTTAAACAAAAGTTATGAACAAAAACTATGAAGCAAAAGTTGAACAGAAGTTTAAAACAGAAGTTATCGTAATTGAAATGTCCCTCTATTTATAATATAGTATTGCGTAGTTTCTATTGTCCTACAATGTGCAGATTCTGTGGAATCCAGTGGCGTAACTCCTTTGTAAAAGACTTCACCTATTTCATCGAGAAGATCAAATGAATAACTTTACAGGAACCTGACATTCTTGTTAGCTTTGATGTTGTTTCCCTATTTACAAGAGTGCCTCTAGAAGACGTTCTGAATTTAATTGAGGGACTAGTTTTCAAGGATATGGTGGAATTATACCGTATTTGCCTCACTACCACCTACTTTTCATAGGAAGACCAACTTTATGAACAGGTAGATCGAGTAGCAATGGGAAGCCCACTAAGCCCGGTCGTAGCCAACCTTTTCATGGAGCATCTAGAGAAGAGGGTAATGGAGTCAATATACAAGCCAAGGGTATGGTTTAGATACGTCGATGGTACTTTTGTGATTTGGGGTCATGGAGTAGAAAAACTTAACGGTTTTCTGTCTTATATAAACACATTACATCCAAATATTTTCAATTTACGATGGACACAGAGAAAGATCAACAACTAGCGTTCTTAGATGTATTAGTAAATCGAAAGGAAGGTTACTTAGGACATAAAGTGTATCGAAAACCCACACACACGGACAGATACCTAAATAGGAACTCAAATCATCATCCAGGCCAAAAACAAGGTGTCAAAACTCTGGTGGAGAGGGCGAAGAGAATTTGTGAACCACGGCATCTACAAAGTGAACTTCTTCATATTGAAAAAGCGCTCACCTCTAATGGTTATACCAGAAGAGAAGTACATAAAGCGATTAACAACGTTTCTAGAAGAAAGCACGAAGAAACAGCATGTATAGGCAAATTGTTCTTGTCCTATAGATCGGGGGTAACACACAGAATTGGCGAATACTTAAAAAAGTCAATATAACGACCATTTTCAAGCCTACAAAGATAATCAAGTACTGTTTAAGATCGGTGAATTACAAACGCGACCCATTAGCAACGGCCGGAGTATACCGAATACCATGCACATGTGGAATGGTATAGATGGGAACTACGAAAAGACACACAAACACAAGGATAAACAAACATAAAAGCCATTGTCGTTTAGGACATATCGACAAATCTGCCGTTGTCAAACACACTTTGGGAAGCAGAGAACATCGGATACTCTTTGAAGAAATTCAGAGGCTGGATGAAAACATCACGGTACTACCCACGATTATATCGGGAAGCGGTGGAAATATATAAGCATCCAAATAATTTTAATCGGATAGAAGAAGAACTAAAAATAACAAAACATGGACACCAATATTAAAATCCACCGACACCCTTCCTGTAAAACCCGAAAAAAGATGCAGTGTCACGAACAATATGGCCTCCAGATATATATCTTCAGAAGATATCAATCCCTAGTGTTGACAAAACGTCGAGAACTAATCTCAGAAGACAACTTTAGATCGATAAAATGAAAAATAGGATATAACAAGATGTCAAAAATCACCGAAATATATTCCAAAAGAAAAAGAAATACTATTATCAAATCCGTGGATTCATTATGAATTCCAGAATAGAATAGAATAAGCTATAATTCTTGAAATGAATAAACACTAATCAACTGGTATGTGATTTTCTATTTCAGCCATTTTTGATCAAGTTTTGTATTCCTTATTGATCTCTTTGTGCACAATTTTTTTATATTTCTATTTCTATTATCATTTATTCTCCTGTGCATATACTTAAATGGTCTGAAAAAAGTTCTGAGCCGGATAATGATTTATGGTGTCAAAGAAGTTTTATTTTCAATAAAACCTCCTCGAATATCCCTACATTTCCCCCATAGGTGTTCCAGTATCCGTATTTTCGCTCTGCAGTGTTGCTCTGCAATTGCTGAAAAGTACTAAACTACAGCTTGAGAAAAATTAGAAGTCAGAAGGAAACAAATCGGGGAAATGTGATGGATATTCGAGCAGTTGTTAGTGTAGATTTTTGATATGCAGGAGATTTTTTCGTTAATCTTTTAGTTTAGTTTCTTAGGAGTTTCTTTTTACGATAACTTGCATATGAATTCATTAAAAGTTTATAGTAGTATTTCAGTTATGATTTTAACGTTTTCAGTGTTATTAATCAACAATTTTTTTCCATCCGAAACAACCGTTGCCATTTCCTCGCTATCCACTTGCGCAAAGCTTTTTAAATTTAAATTCCTGGTGAAAGGTGTTTCCAACACATTCTCCATCAATTCGTTAGCAGTTTCAGGAAACTTTAGGTATACGCCAATCGTCTAAAACGTTATGCATTTTGTTGATGATTTCCTGTGTGGCTGTGCAGTCAAATGGTGCTTAGAAATACATGGAGTCTGCTAACACTTTTAAAAACGTGAGAGGATAAATCTCACGAATACTGCGATCTCTGGAAGAGGTCGAGAACTCATTAGACCGCCTTGTTTGTAAATATTTTTTTCTTTGCCAAAGAAGTATATTGACACTCATACATTAATCATAATACTTAACCAATCATATACATTTAGCATGTAAATCAGTAGCATGTTTACTAATACTCATGTTTTTCATTGAATGCTTTGCAGTGTTTGCTGGGATATCGAATGAAGCTTATTTTCGTGACGAAAATCATAACAGCTCAGGTAAATGCGAATAAAAGTCCAAATTAATTTTTCTGCTGCATAATTATTTCATGGATTTCATAACAACATTAAAACTGAACGAGGTTCATTCTCTCTCCAGGAAACTCTTGGAAGAGCGACACTGAAGATGAATCAGCACGAGAAATTACGCCGTTCCTGGACAAAGAACCAATTTCGGGACCTAAAGAGATTCCGAAATATCTCGAAGTCATTTTGGGACCAGACGATATATTAGAAAATGATGGCTATGAGATTCCGAACCAAATGATACAGAAACTCGATGGAAACGCCGAGCCTACAGAACTTGCTGGGAAAAGTGAAGACCGTGCATGACAATGATAAGTAAATGTAGGTATTAAGTTCCTGATAAGCCTGAAATATTTGAAAGTATGATGCCACGTTAAATTTAGTCAAAATTATTGTAATGACATTTTGTTAAAACTTTTTTTTATTCAAAAATTATTACTGAAATTAAGATCAATAATGTTTTCAAAGGGAACATAATATTTTAAATATAACCTAATTTAATCTACACTAAATCATCTTAATTTAAAGATTTACTTAATGCAAGTTTTATATTCAGCTATTTAATAATTAACAATGTACAGTAATTATTCAAATAGAAGAAAATATTGGTTATTCTTGTTTGATGATCAAACCATATATTATCAAATGTTAGGGAACAACACAGCTATGCACACCTCATAAACGAGTCTTTAGTCCATCTTCTGTCTACCATTCGACCAACTAACTCAATCTTCTTGATCTGATGATCTAATTTCAGGTTTTCCGTACAGCTCTTCAATTTCCGCATCTGTTCGCCTTCTCCAATCATTTTCCAATCACCTTTTTTTGTTCACAACCCAGGTTTCGCTGCCATAAACGGCCATGGGTGAACCACTACTCACTCTCTCAATTTTGCCGCCCTAAAAAGTCTTTTACTTTGAATAATTTATGCATAACTCCTTGTCCCCTCAATCTGTTTCTTAATTTCTTAACTTTATTCCGAGTTATTTACTAAGATAACCCATGCATACTTGCATCTTGTTGAAACAATACTATTCATTGTTAGGAGGTACTCTTTAGTTCTGTGATCCCTATTGACTCTTGTTCCATTTTCATACATGATGAACCATTAATCTTAATTAACTTAAGAAGTTCAACCTATCGGTCTCGTGGTCTACAATATTCACTACATTATCAGACTATAAGTACAGAACTTAACAACTAGAACAATGTAAAACTAACAAGCGTTTCAGTTCACAGCTTTCCTAGTTCTAGGAGATTACTATTATCTACACATCTTGCATTGTTTATCATTTCTTCCATTTATGGAGACTATCTTGTAAAATTAATTTCATCGGTTTTATCTTATTACATTTTTTGTTGCAGTCTCTTTGGTACAGTACTAATATAATTGTATAAACTTGAACATTATATCAGTGTAGAAAATTGATCATTTCCCTTAGTCCCCGTTTTTTACACTCACGAAATACTTCTAGTAATAAATGAAACAGCAGGTAGATCAGTATCGATATTTATGAATTCAATATTTAAAAATATTTGGTTTTATTTCCTTATATCCTTTGCATATTTTCTTGAGCAGTCATTGACTATGTGTATAACCATTAAAACCTTTTATTTTATTTGGAGAAGTTCTCATTAAAATTTATATAAAAATTCCTGACATTTATAAATATATAGGTACTATTATATATGTATTCTATATAATTGGTTTCTTTGGACAGTGGTTGTATGATGGTTATACAAATGAGAATTCTGTTTACGATTTACATATTTATTCTATCCTTAAGGTCGCAGCATATTATCATACACGTATAGTTTCCGGCACGTAGCGTTTCCAGTCCAGAAATCGGACTGCACGTTTACATTTTCATACATAGAACGTTTCAGTCTGTGAAGAAAGAAAAAACTAGTAAAAAGAAGGTTTTATGTTCCAATGCTAAGAGAAAGCAAAAAAGGAAGGTGAATACTGGACTTTATACAAAGAATTGTATATTGTAATTGTTTATTACTTCCGTCATTAATTGTTACAAGCCAATGAAAACACTTGCATAAATGACAAAATAGTATCGAAAATTATTTTTTTAAAATATTCTGTCTCAAAATCAAACAAATACCTAAATAAACAACGAGGAGAAAACGACGGACCCCTAATTCACATTATCCGTACCAACAGGTTTCGAATCGTTCCGTAGCCGTCGGCATCTGTAAAATATTGTACTCGAATATACGTTCCGGACAGTGTGAATTGTTCATACTTTCGTTTCATTTCATCAACCGTTTAAATTATATTTTTCCGAAACTAAACGCTACGGGCTGGAAAACGCAACGTGCATGATAATATGCCACAACTTTTATATTAATTTAGTTTTTTCCAATTATAACAGAAACAACAGTACAAACAGAAAAACTACAAAAAAACTTTTGTAGTTTTTCTGTAAACAAGTAAACAAAGATACTTTTAATTTATATAGGGGAGTGAATAGGAAAAACTATCGAAGAAAAGATTATAAACTGTGGAAGAACTATACTGAAGTCCTTTTTGAAGACAACTGAGAATAAAATATTCCAAGAAAACGAAACAGGACTAGCTATAACAAAATCCGATTTTCGATATGTTTTAAAAAATATGAAAAACGGAAGAGTGTCCGGACCTGATTACCCCCAATAGACGTTATAAAAGTGGACGATAAATATATAGACACACTGAAAGACTTGTTCAATAGCATTTATAGACTGGCATAATACCACAAGAATGGCTCACATCAGCATTTACAACCATCCTAAAGAAAACAAACGCCAAACACTGCAATTAATATCGCACCAACCGTAAAAATACCAAGTTTAATGAGCCATATGTTAAAACTGTTTCTGAAAATCATACACCATGCTAAACTCAAAGAAGACATCGGAGACGCCCAATTTGAATTCAGAAAAGGTCTGATAACAAGAGAAAGACACTATTTGTATGCAATATATTGACACAATGATGCCTAGATGTAAACCAAGATGCCTATGTATTATTATTGATTGCAACAAAGCATTCGACAAAGTTAGACATGAGCAACTTATACATCTTCTTAAAGATAAAACCATATATTCCAAAGACAAACGAATAATCACCAAACTTTACTATAACCCCAAAAAAGGCAAGGTTGTATTCTATCACCAACTCTATTTAACCTATATTCAAAACACATAATTAAGAAGGTACTTAAAAACGAAAATACTGGTACAGAAGTGAATGTGTTCCGATTAACAATATTAGATACGTAGATGATACTAGAATAATTGCAGAAAATCTCAACGACTGACAAAAGTTAGTAACAAAAATCGTAGAAATAAGCGAAGAATATGGCCAAAAATAAATTTGTGGTTGTATCAAAGAAAAACATTAATATCAACCTCCAAATTAACAATGAGCAGATTGAAAGAGTTGAGAAATATAACTATCTGGGAACATATGTAAATGAAAAGAACGATTACACGGAGGAAATCACAATAAGAAGCGCATTTATGAATATGAAAAGAATACTAACCAGCCTAGTAAAATGTTATATTTATTACATCTTTCTATATGGCGTGAAGACATACAGTAAAGCTGCAATAAAATAGAAGACTTATAGAAGAATATTTAAATACCCAGGACTGATAAAATAACAAATGCAGAGGTACTTTGCAAAAAGAGTCTAAAATCTATTGTATTATCTTTGTTCTTGCTACTTTCCTGATAATTTTGCTCCGACTACTAGTACTCAGTTGCCTATCAAGTTTTCTAGTACCATTTCTAAACAGAGCCAATTTGAAAGTAGGTGGATATAGGTTTCGCCGTTTTTTCATAAAAGCAGAATGCCTTTTCTTCCAACTAGGGATTATCATGTGCTTTCTCGATAAAAAATGTCTCAGTCTTTTTCATTAGTAGGCGCAGCTTGTGGTTGCTTAAGATTTTTGAGTATGTCAATCCTTAGGCGGCTTGTACACCAAGGCGATATCCAACACGCAACATACAACATCTACCACGCGATAAATGTTGCATATTTCATAATAGCGTACATATGTACAACGCAACATGAGATAATGTCTCATATTTGATAAAGAGAATACATGAGCGTAGCAATTCTGCAACTTCAGTATCTGATATGTGTTCAAGTGAAGAAGTTGTAACTGTAGCTTGGCACTTTATAAATAGAAAAAGAGAAACTTACGCTGGCACTTCAATTTATCATATTGCATAGTGCAGTAACTGTTTCACAAGAACTATCCACAATGTTGAACCTCCGTCCTGGAAATGTAAGGAAATATTGTAGTATATGGTTCCGTAAATGCCTCTGTCACATAACATGACGATAAATTGATAAATTGAGAGAATGCGTTCTTAGGTAATCTGATTTGTTCGTTTCTTGGCCTCCAGGAAGTTCTGCGATTTTAGCAGAACTAATGGAGCAGTATTTAAATCATCTAATATCGGAAAATATTACAAAAACAGAAATTCGACATTTTTGAACCCTCACATTTACCAGAAAATTCTACTAGGGAGCCTTTTCCTTTTTATATATGTGGAGATGAAGCTTTTCTGTTATTACCATATCTTTTTAGGCCATATGCTCAAAGAATTTTGAACACTACAAGTGTATTTGGTATCTTAGTATCTAAATTTCGTATATTCGAAGGGTCAATTTTTTGTGAGGAAACAACAACTGTAAAGAAAATTGTGAAGGCTGCTTGTATTTTACAAAGAAAATTTACAATTTTCGAAGAAATATCTCAAGAATCGAACAACAGACATTGCGGGAAGATATTCACCGAATGTCTCATATGATATTGGTTGGACGAGCTTTATCTCCGTTGCTTCAGTGAACGATAGTTCCAGGAATCCTAGTAGTTTTAAATGCAGCTCAAGAAATAGATATTAAGTGGCGGAATTTATTGGATGTTGCGTGTTTCATGTTGCGTATTGGATATCACCTTGGTGTACGAGCACACTTAGAGATCTTACAAGTACCTACATGCTTTTTAGATATATTTCGTTTTCTACTTTGTTCACTACTTTGATATGGTCGAAACCACGAACAGTTTCCGTGTTATTGTAGCAGCAGTATCCTCTAGGTCGTTACCATTACTTCGTCCGTACCTGGTGTTAATACGAGAATAACTATTATGTCCCATCTGAATTTTTGAAGGTCCTTGTCGAAAATATGACTAATTATTCTTTTGTTTTAAATATATCTTACAATGAACGTTGAGTCTGGTTACAAAATTCATCAAAATTTTCTTGCTTGTAAGATATACCAACAAAATGTCAAAATAAA